CGCAATGTCGCCAAAGGGTTAAGGCCCATTTGTGTAAGCCGTCGTCACTTGCTTGTGTGTACGTCTGCGGTACAGACACATCTGGCAGCCGGATACATGATTCTGAGGTTCCCTGTAATCTAGTGTCGTAACGCAAACCTATCCACAGATATGAGGCTAGGGACCGCGAGCAGAACGTGCATCGTCACCAGTTCCACTGATTCTGCAATTTTGACACCGTAGGCTACCGCAAATGAATTGTGTACATATTATCAATCACAAAGAAGAAGATCCGGTGCTATCGCAAGACGGGGGATGCGTCTCGTGTAGTACTTTGGGTCGTATACAGTAAACCAATTTTGACAAGGAGGGGGGGGGGGCGCGGGATGCGTCAAAACGAAGGCGAGATGGCACACGCTTCCCGAAACTTCCAACTCTACTATGGGTGACAAGAAGTATTGCATGAAACGCCTTCCCGTCTTGCTGAAGCGTCTAGGAACTTTGGGTACTATCATTTTATAAAGAGAACATAATTCACTACCCCGTTTGGCTTAAATGATACTGAGCCTTGAAGGCAGAATTCACGATGGAAAAGCGACCCTTCCTTGCCCGTTGATTTGCGCATTGATGCGACTCTCATCGCTGTGCCCTCTTCAACACTACGCTCTCTCTGCTATCTAATCACTCGCCACGTATAGACCTGCGGCGAGTGATTAGATAGTCGGTGGGCGGACCCCGCCAACCGCGCCAAGAGTGAGCCATGCTAGGTCGCCGAGGTCAAATCTTTCATGCCAATTGCGCGTCAGTTCGCACCCTCAGGAGGTCCGCCGGTCTCTCAACTAGGTGAATTACTTCTTCTTCGACCTTCATTCTAATCGTGAATTCCTCCTTTAGGTTGAAAACACCTTTCTTGCCTTCCTTGTAAAGAAAAATGATAGTCAGGGATTGCTCATAAGAATCGGACTAGAGTCACAAAAAAATCATTGTATGTTTCATCGTCGATGGCAAACTCACCTTAGTCCTCCATACGGCCGACAAAGAAATCAGCTGATGTTCAGGTGTGTCGTTGAAGAACAGATCACTGGCCGATGTCGCGTCACTGGCACCCACATCGGCGAACAAGATCACATGGGAGAACGCTTTAGTGTCCGAATAACTAAACGGATATTTACAACTAGCAGCCAGTAAATAGAAATCATACCGTAATACATCGTAGACGATTGTAATGCCCGCATATTATCGCTTCTTTGAGAAGTTATAGCAAGAACAAGACATATGAGATCACAGTGCTCGATGATGTAAAGCTGACAGTTTGAATTTCAAAGAAAAACAGAGTAGCAGAAGCGACTTGTGGACCGCGTTCACAGTAGAGTTTTGGGAGATAACAGATCAGAAGTAGGTGAATTTTGAAGATCGGGCTGCTAGTGCACTACTGCCGCTGAAATCAGCGCTCTTCGCACATTACTGGTTAGCATACCTGATGGAACAAAAGGCACAGACCTCTGCACCATAAATTGAAGGAGGAACTATCCATGAAAATCACAGCTCCCGACACGGTGGTGACAGCGAGATCCCACTCCTCTTCCTTTAAGGATGCTTCATACTTCGTGCGGGTTTGTACCAGTGGAGCGGAGGAAGGAGACATTGTCATGCAGTGGTTCGTGCTGTCTACTGTGATCACATTTTCGCAGGAGGGGAAGCTCCAGGGTGATTGTGAAAGCAAGAGTATAGTGAATCACGCACCCGGCGCTTTTTACCTAGGATGGTTGTAGGCGGCGCGAGCTGTTTCACCACGGT